TGTTGTTGTTATTGTTGTTGTCGTCGCCGGCGTCGTCGCCGTCGCTGTTGCTGTCGCTGTTGCTGTCGCTGTTGCTGTTGCTGGTTGGTGTTGCAGTTGGGGTTGGGGTTGCGCGGTTGCTCGGTTGGTTGGATGGTGCCGTTTCTTTTGACTTTGCTGTTCCGGTTATGGTGGTGGGGCGGTGGTGGCTGGTGGCGGTGGTTTTTCTTGTTACTGTCGTGGTTGCCGCAGTCGTTTGTGTTGCCGCAAATGACCGAAGGCTACTTCTAAAGTTGGACCCCGTCCGAGGCAAGTGTCAACTTCGAGGTTCCAAGCGCTTGGCGGAGAAACTTGGTCATGACTCGATATGACACTGGCGTTGCGAATTTGCTGCTCCGCTCTGACTTGTCTTTGTGTGAGTTTCATTGTTTATGTCCGTGTGGCTGGGTCTCGTTGCTTCAGATCTTGAAATCTTGGAGCCATCTGCCATGGAATCGGTCGTCAGGGAAGCGAAGCTGGACATGTGGACAAAAAGCCCGAAGCGAGGAGTCGACATCTTTTGGGCGGAGACTTCTGATGCGTGACTTAGTTGATGTCAGCCCCCCAAGCCTTGCAGGTTGACAGTTGAGCATGCTTGTGCGCCTTGGCTGTAGATTTTGTGCATCCGTCGCTCCACTTTAACCAACCGTTAACCCATCCCTCGCCAAGCAGGGTCACTTGCACTTAAGCCAGCTCAGATTTCTTTCATCCGCGTGGTCCCGGAGACATGGTGGGATCTCGCTTCATTCCGATTGCTTGGCGCTGCCATGACAGCCGCTGGCATAATTTGGGACTTCTGTAGGATCCTATAAGAGTTTCACAGTCGGATGATGCTCTAGGAGTCCGGATCAATGTGCACCAGACTCTGGCATGATGCAAACGCATAGACTTTTCGTGGAGACTAGTTGCTGGAAGGATTCCGGGCAACATCCTCAGCCCCCCTCTCCCACCACGAGCAAGCGTCCAAGGATTCGACTTTGGGTTTGGGGCTCTGGGTTTCGCACTATTCACGAAGGCTCGAAGGCTTGTTCTACGGTTTAAGGCTCTAAGATCCGAGGGAGGTGGGATGAGAATGCAGGCGGACAACTCACTGTCTGAGATGTGTCAGGGTTACAAGAGACTGCATGGCAGAGTCTGTGTCAACCTTGTCCCTGAGGTTACCTTCCTTGGGCAGTCGTCCGCGTCGACGAGGGCATAAGATGTGCCATGGTTTTACATGTGCGGGCCTAGCATTTCCGGCCTCTTAAAGGTGTTGGGCAGCCTAGACGGGTGGGATATTTTGGACACTTGTTCGGACCTGTTTTACGCTTTACACGGCTCGAGTAGTGCTTGTACAAAGACTGGGACGGTCCGTGCCGTTTCCAGCTTTGTATTCTGCATCCGGGTTGACAGCTTCAGCAGATCGGCGAGTGGTTCCGAAGATTCTCGGAGCATCGATCAAGGGCTGATGGCGCCATTCTGGCACATCCGATAAGCCTTACATGCAGAGTTCACAATTTACGTCTGATTGTCGAACAAGGGTTGGGCCAGGTACGGAGCAACAGGCTTCAACCTTAAGCAGGTGTGCTTCACTTGCGTACAATATGAGCCTGCTCTCATGTGAGGCGCTTATGCCTTTGGTGCGCCGAAGGTCGGAGCGGAGGGGACATATGCGAACATGTGGGGTTGTGCTGAGTGGAGAGAGGAAGAGCTGACCAGCAGGAACAGGCAACGGAAGCCTACCACAGCAGTCTGGGCGTTCGGTGCATGCTTCTTCGGAGGCCTCTGTCTACAGAAGGTGGAGAGATGTCCAGCAGCTAGGCGGCATCTTCCAGGGTTTGCTGCGATTTCTGGCATTCTGTTCAGCTTCTCTTTCGGAGCAGCTCGCTCATGCCGCTCATGTTTCAGTAGTGTTCGAGGTGTGATGAGGGCTTGGGGTTCAGCCTGTTGGAACCCACCGTTCCGAGCGAACTTGGTGCATTCTAGATTCTATAGGCTTTCCGACGATCCAGAAGCCCACTTGCTTGAAAGCACGGAAAGAGAAAGAGCCGCAACACGGCAGTGCGCCACTAAAGCAGTAGCAACACCACAACCTTGCAGCACCAACAACAACACGAACACCAACTGCAGCAGCACCATCACCAGCAGCACCATCGCCAGCACCAGCAGCAACAGCCACAGCAGCAGCAGCAACAACAACAACAACAAAAGTAGCAGCAAATAACCTCATCTCTCTGCCCAGGGACGATCTTCAAGATCTTGGCCTTGCGAGGCTCGGCAGGCAAAAGCATTTTGAGCTTGGTCTCTTTCAAAGATGTTTTGCCAATCTGCCCAACCTTGATAGTCATGTAGAGTCGGGTCAGTATAAATAGTATAGCAGTAGGGTGCAGTATAGTCAAGTTTAGTATCAAATCATGTCCGAGCCTTTCGTTGGCCTTCATGAGAATAGGTGGCATCACATCCAGGGTAAGACATTTTGACATTTTCGTGTTAGACTCAGGAAAGGTGCGACAGATGGTGCGGAGCCTCTCGGCTTAGCTGCATGGTCTGGTCTGGGTTGGCTGGGTTGCGTAAAATCGCCGTAGCCTTATGCGGACGGGTAAGGCAGAGGTTATTTCAGTAGCTGGTAACCAGGTTGACAGGAGCCCCACGCCAACAGGCTCCCCAGTGCTCTCGCAATCTGGAGAGGTGCTGGCGCCCTGAAGGGGACCTTTGCACCGTCGCCCTGAAGTCCAACCGTTTCCTGATGGAGCTCGAGGGCAGCAAGCAGGAGGCCGATCGTGAAACGATTCAGATCGTGGACGCAGCTCTCAGCTGGGCTGTGCTCAAGCTAATGCAGGCATCAGGTGAAAGGCCAGCCAGCTTGCCCTGCGAAGCGAAACGCCAGACCTTACGCTGCAGCCCCGGAAGTTGCACCAGACAAACACAACAAACCCTGGGACAGAGTCCTGCCGTCCTTGCTGTGCTTTGCGATGCGGGGGCCAAAATCCCTGGGACGTCTGGGACAGGTTTGGCGCAATGTCGCTATTGCCTTGGCCTCGGTGTCCTTGGCTTTGGCCGTCCTGGCAGCCTCCTACCGCCGTCGATTTGGCCACGAGCTGGTGCCTTTCTCGGCTTTATGATGCAGGAGGTTAGGCTAGGGCAGGGGTTAAGGCTTTCAGTTCGCGGGTTTCGGCGCCTGCCCAAGGACCCGTAGCATTTTCACTCGGGCTGGCTATCTAGAAGTCTAGGAACTTTCTGGGCTTGCGGTCTGCAGTCTGAAACCTAAGGCCGAGTGGAGTGATTAGAGTCGAGGAGAAAGAAACACGGAAGTCCCAGAAAGTATCGGTAGACCGGTACTACGCTCTCGATGCGGCCACATCGACAGGTGCCGACAGAGGATCCAGATTGCCAGGACAGGATCCGGTCAGCTCCAAGGGACCCAAATTCGGAGTAAAGTTAACATGTGATGCTATTTGATTCATGTCGGGCGTTAAATGACGTGTGCATTTCAGGGGAGTCTATCGGCCCAACAACAACGTTGCGCACGGAGTTCTGGATGATGGCAGCATTTCAGATTAGACAGCATTGCATCCATCCGAAGTCAACTCGGGGTAGCTCGAACATGTCGCATGTAATAAAACTCAACACGTTGACTGCAGCATTTGGTTCCGTTAGCGCAGCACTGAACGGGTGATTGAACAGTTGCCAAGACGGAGTCCTTTCGGAATGTGCAAGCCAACAGCAATCTTCCGCAGTCAGCGTCACGGACTACGAAAGGAGGCCGAGTCACTGTCTGCACGTGTTCGCCGACTGGTGGCCGGCGCAGCAGCGAAAGTTTCTGCTTCCTACCTGAACTCGAGCTGTATCGCTTCGTTGGGCAATCACCTCAGGTTTCCTGAGCATGATACACCTCGAGCAGTGTCGAAGAGACAGTCCTTCAGCCAACGGTTGCAAGAAAGCTCGGCAGCCCCAGGTCTCGAAGTCTTTATGATGTAACTCCTGGGCAAAGCCTTCCAAAACCGAGAGGAAGATGTTGCTCTCCAAGGAAAGCACCCCTCAACTGTCGGCTCGGAGCTCGCGGCGCACTTTGCGCGCCGACCGGTTCATCTCTGGCAATGGGAGGCCAGGGCTGACCTGGGGCCGCGTGGGGGCGTATAGGATCCGAACCTGATGTAAACAGCCCGTGCCATGTAAGAACTGGCTTAAGAGCCAGTGTCAAGGACTCGGGCGAGCTATGCACTTCATCTGCCATCTGCCAAATTTTGGACCCACAGTAGTGATGACTGCTCTCCTTCGGTATCAGAGGGATACAAGTTGGACGCTTCTGAATTGAGAGCCTTTTCGTTTGGAGGGGTGCGGACCGAATCATGTTGACTCCATTGTATTGGGATCTGCTGGCTTCCGTCTCCGACTAACATCGAATAACCACGGTGATAATGAGAGGCTGAACTCACTGAACCCTGAGCCGGCTGCAGGCCGAATCAAAACCTTGCTGCGGACTTTGCTGATGCGGCTGCTCGCGCCCGAAGCCACGGCGCAGCGTGAAAAAGACTTCTTCTCCTTTATGCATCAATCATGCGAGCAAGCAGCAGCCGACTAGCACAAGCATGGGTCCAGGTTTTATAAACATCCGAGGCGCCAAGGCAGTAGGTAGCACATTCAAAGTAGGTTGATTTGCGTGATTGTCGTATAAATTGTGGGAGGAAGCATCGCCACAGTTGTCGTTTTCAGCGTCGGTGAATTTGGGGCCTGGAAGTGTGAACTGTCACAGGGACAAGGTGCAGCTATTGTACAGCCAAAAGCAAGCAAGCGGCTGGGTCATACTCCAGAGTGTCCTCAGGGTCAATGGGGAAGGCCCGAGAGAGAGGTGCACTCAGAACAATGGTGCGCTTATCGAGGCGTCGCGAAAGAGCCTCACCCCACTGCCAATGCGAGGCCGCTGGGGGCGATCTTTTTACAAAGACTTATGGCCTATAACCAGTCGGTCATTACAGTGGCTGACAGTTCCGAGAGTGTGCTTGACGCGAGCGTGTGGCTGGATGCAGGACTTGGTATGAAAGACTGACAGCTTGGAATTTCGAGCTTGGAGACTATAATCGAGAATTGGGGCGTGATGATTGGATGCCGTGTGCTAAATTTTGTAAATGAGCTCAAGACCGTCCTGCAAACGTCGTTTCAGTTCGCAAACCCTGCATCAGCCTAAAGCGCATGCGAGTCTACATTGCATAAGCTCGCTCACACATTGGCAGGGACTCTGGCTGCCGATGCCGCTGATGCGGCCACGCCGCAGGTGGCACCCTGGCGACCCAGGCACCAGCTCAACAACACACCACAACAAAAAAGCCCCAGCAGAACAATATGCAATATGAACATGATTGGTGTTTGTTGTTCGTAGCCGTCGCACTTATTGTATTAACGGCAAGTGTCATAATCACATCTCTGCGAGACTAAGTGTAAAAGTAGAAAGTCTACACAGCAGCGACTACGGCGACGACCACAGCTACAACAACTACTGCTACTACCACTACCATCGCCGCCACCGCCGCCACTACCACCACCACGACGACGACTACTACTACTGCTACTGTTGCAGACCTTCTCAACCTCACCCTGATGTGTTTCTGACTGCATTCAGGTTGGTGGGTGTGTGTGTGTGTGCCTGTGTTGCGATTATCGCCGCTTCTATGACATTCTATGACTTTTGACTGACACAGTGTTACCTTTTTATGGGGTCAGAGTGTACTAGGAAAGCTTGATAGCCTTGTCTCAGGCTTGGCCCCACATGAAAAGAAGGTGTGATGGTGAAATGGAACGATCATTAAGTTGTAGGACAATGCCACACCGGGATGGCTGCCTACCCGCAAATCTATGGGAAAGCTCTGTGGCTAAAGTATGTCTAACTGCCGCACTTCGGCATGCACCGGTGGGATCCGCTTCTTGAAGAGCCCGGCAAACCAAAACGCACAGTACCGTGCTTGACAGGAAGCCCAGGGAGGAGGTGCGCCGGGCCTGCTCTTTGGAGTCGACGAGTCCACAGCTAGTGAACAAAGAGGCGGTAATCATGAGCAGCTCTGACTGCACAAGCATCTTCAATTCAGCAGCTTGGGTGATCGTGACCTATGCCAACATCACCGCATGCATGCTAGCTGCGGGACCGCGGTTTTCCGAAGAAGTGTCGGCTGCTCCGTGCTCGGATCTTTAAAGTTTAGAGCTACCTCAGATAATGGATGACTGGGCAGCATCAGTCATGTATCGGCCTCGGGTGATCCGTGGTGCCGAAACCAATCACTGTCAGGACACAGACCTGCCCATACTCTGCATTAGATACATCGTTCTAGATACATCCAGAGATCGCCGAAGCAGCAGGAGTTGCTCTTTTCTTCTGGATATAGGCGGACTTAGGTGTTCCGACGCCATGTGATGTGAGGTCCCCACGTGTGGGCTGAATGGCGTGTCTCGGGGTTTCTCCGGGCAGCAGATGTATCAACCACAGCATGCAGCCAAAGCAGGTGGTGCGTCTCCGGAGCCTCGGGTGTTCTGCTTCGGAGAGAAGGTCCAGTACTTGTCGCGTCGCACTGGCCAGTGGATACCGGCCGTCGTTCAAGGCCATGCCATGGTTGCAGTGCCGGGTGCGGGGACCCCTGAGGAGTTTCACTACCAACTAGACGTGCAGGAAGCTGCCCATCCAAGTCGCGTGCGAGCTGCAGAGTCACAGCCGAAGCCAGTGACGACACCTGCACCTGCTGTCGCAGTGCCAGTAGCTCAACCTTGCATGTCAGAGGCACAGCAACATCCGGCGGAGCAGCTGCGCCAACCCAAGCCCAATTTGCCCCAGCAGTCCCAGCCACCGCCCGCCCCACTCCCTCCTCCTGCGTCAGCCCCAGGGCCGTTGTGTCCTGTTCGCTCTGCTGTCGCACCCCTATCACAACAACCTGCAGCTCGGTGGCAGCTCATGTGCCTACATGCGGAAGGCTTCTCACAAGAGGTCCTTCACGCCCTGCCCAGTACGATGCGTGCTCTGGCAATTCCGGATGGGAAGTCCCACTTTGGAAGGCAGCATCAGGCCAAGTTTCTGGAAGCCTTGCTCGTCAAGTCACCACAGCTCCTGAGCATCATCTCCCGCACGCATGCAGATGTTGAAGCTCCAGCAAACAGCTCGAAAATCCGAATCACGAATCTCACCTTGAACCCGGTCTTTGTCAATTCGGCCCAGGCCCTTTGGCAAGGACAATCCGGTGAGCTTGGACCGGGCACGACCCTCAGCTTTGCTAGGAACCAGGGGGACGACACTCCGCACCATTTCCTCGTTTTCCAGCTGCAAGCCTTGGATGCGGGGCTGCAATCCCTGCAATCGACGCCGGCCGAAGCCGAGACGAAGGCCGCAGCTCGAGAGCATCAGCCTCAAGCGGCACTTCCTATTGCTCCCACAGAAGTAGGAGGCCAAAAAAGTCCTCCCACAGAGCAACCGCCTCCGCCTCCCTCGGCTATGGCGATGACTACGGTGGATGTTGCAAAGGTGGCAATTCCCACAGAGGTGCTCCAGCAACTGCGGGCTGTGGAAACTTGCAAGCTTGACAGCCCGAAGCCCAAGAACCCACCAAGGGAACCCTCGCCGGATCCCTCGCCGGATCCCAGATCCCACCAGGCTTCCAAGGTTCCGCCAGAGCCACGGAGCTTTCCGCACAGCGTGGAAAAGGAGAAGGTGGATCCGCGACCTGAGGCTCTCCAGCCCGAGGGGAAAGAGCCCATTCGGCCGGCCCCAAGTGCGGTGGAGGCCAAGGCCGGCGAGTGTTGCATTCGGACGGACTCGCACATGACAGCGGAGAGAGGGAGAGATCATCCAGAGGGTGCTGCGCAGAGATTACTGGGTGTCGAAGCTACCTGTGCGTAGCTGTGTGTGCCGGGGCATGCCGTGCTTGTTCTCGTTGTATTACCTCTGTAGGTAACCCTGATAGTTCATCCGGCGCATCCGGTTGGCGGCACCTGTGTCTTGCGGGCTCGCAGGCAGCGCTTGACCCGGTGGCCTTCGAAGAGACCCTTCCAGTGGCTCCGGTGCCTTGGTCGCAATTCTGCGCGCACGCCAGGGGCCATTCTTCCGCCATGGACACATTGCCGCGACGTAAAGACGCGAATAAGTCGTCCGAACATGGAGTCTTACCGGCTGCAAGCTTGACGGCTGCTTTGAGCTCTGTGTCGGAAGTTGCAGGTAGCAAAGCACCCAAGAACTAGGAGCTGACATCCTTGACAAGACTTGTGCCGTGGAGGTCCATCCCGTCTTACCCAGAAAGCACTGAAGGTGGCAAGACAAGACAGTCTACATTGAGTCTACAGTCTACAGTGTCTAGATCGTGAGGCCCCCACGTTGGGCCCCTGTCCGGTGTTGGCACAGCTGCCGGAAGAGGCAGAGCGGGCCAAGGGCTTTGGCTAAGTTTCAGCAGCTTCGCGCGATCTTCGAGAGAAATTCGTTGAAGGCGCGTTGACTCAGGTTCGTTTAACGTCCGCAAGGCAGGAGACGACGAGGGCATATCAGTCAGATTGCAGAAAATCCCGATGCTTCGCACCCAGCCACATGCTGGTGAGTTGCCTCCACCTCCTTGTCGTAATCTGAACTGCAAATCTCTGCAGGTGGCAGTGGAAGACCCGACTGGTGCGACGAGTGGCTTGCAGCGGTCAGTTGTGTATTATGCTAGAGGTTGTCATGGGCATCCGGTTCAACCTGCGAAGGTAGGATCCGCTCGTGCTCGTCACTGCCTCGAAATGACTGTACAGCAAGTTCTTGATCCTCGTGTGGCCATATTCTGACTGTACCCCCAGTCCTGGGTCATGTGCCACAATAGCATGTGAAAGAAAGCTATCTGGATTTGTTTTGGATTTGCTTTTTGGTTTGGCCTGGCCTGGCCAAACATCACTCTCGCAGACATGTCGGCAAACTCCTAGCCCGCTCAGTTTTGTCGTAGTTCATTTGATGCGCCCAGTTACCAGCGACCCGGCTCGTCATGCAGGATGTACTTCACCTGACCGTCTTTATGGTCTATAGTTGAGGCATCGAGCCGCACATCACCCTCGAGCTGAATGGAGCTGGTGTGAAGGCTGAGGCCGGAGGGACTCTGGGTATGTGCACAACCTGCCTCTAGAGTTGTATATTGTACAGATATGTATTGGCGGACCTTAGTCTGGCGGGTTGTCATTGAACAGAAACGAGCCCAAGATTGATGAACCTCACCTGCCTCACGCAAAATCTCAAGATTCGCGCCATGACCCTCGAGCCCGGAACGTGCCTGGTACGCAAGAGCAGATTGCACATCGCCTCGCCAGTCTGTTCGGAGCTTTTTCGGAACCAAGCTGCCACACAGAATCGCGAATCATCGAGCCAAGGCTTGCACCGCCCCCCCCCCCCCCCCCC